CTCCACGAGGTGAAATCTTGCATGGAGCCCCAAGCCGAGGGAGATTGACAGTTCTTTTGTGTTTCTTCCATTTGCGAATAATCGCACCAACTGTTGTCACCTTCTCACCAAGCTGCTTGGCAATGGTCTTGTAGCCCATTCCAGCCTTGTGAGGTCTACAATCTTGTCCCTGACATCCTTGGAGAGCTCTTTGGTCTTGGCCATGGTGGAGAGTTTGGAATCTGATTGATTGCTTCTGTGGACAGGTGTCTTTTATACAGGTAACAAGCTGAGATTAGGAGCACTCCCTTTAAGAATGTGCTCCTAATCTCAGCTCGTTACCTGTATAAAAGACACCTGGGAGCCAGAAATCTTTCCGATTGAGAGGGGGTCAAATACTTATTTCCCTCGTTAAAATGCAAATAAATTTATAACATTTTTGACATGCGTTTTTCTGGACTTTTTGTTGTTGTTATTCTGTCTCTCACTGTTCAAATAAACCTACCATTAAAATCATAGACTGATCATTTCTTCGTCAGTGGGCAAACGTACAAAATCAGCAGGGGATCAAATACGTTTTTCCCTCACTGTAGGTAGCAGCCATCTCCTGGCACCAACATTGGTTGCCCACTTGATCAAGTGCCACGAGACTGCCCGATTATCCGAGGCAACAGCTGCCTACAGGCACCAACATGGGGTTTGTCTCCTTGAGAAAGTGCTGCTGGGTTGTCTGATTATGATAGGCACCATTGCGATGCGTGTAATCGTTTCGTTCATGCACATTCAAAGTGTTGCTGGCAATGTGGGTCTTCATTTCCTTTCACTGAACCAACACCTGCCACCCACACCGCGTTCCATTCTCACAATTGTATGGATCGCGAAGCACCACGTGAGTGAATGAACGATTGCACCATCATTCGGTATACCAAGCAAACATCAACGTGAACCGTCGATCTTGGTTGCATAACATCTTAAACTTACCTTTGTTATTTTACATATATATTAAGCAAAACAAATATTTAAGTATTGGCTTTCACAGATCATTGCAGAATACAACCAACATTATTTAAGCAATAAACTCAACTCATTCGTCAATAACACTTTGGGTGGCCTTAAAAGGAAAACATACATAACGTATATAATAGGGCACATTTCAGGCCCCATTCGCCATAGCACACGCACAATGCCACAAAACATCACGATTTTATTTGTTTCTAAGGCAATGATTCTCAAAGTGTGATTCCCAGATCAGCGAACCACCATCAGCGGTCTGCGATGCTCCTCCAGGCAGTTAGGGTTACGTGATGCAAAACGCAGCTTGTTCCGCAAATCACGACAATAGTTCACATTGTTTCGCACATGAAATCACGTTTTACTTCATACGGTATTTCATTTAAAAAAATGAAGTATGTAACCACCCTAATTAAACTACCCTGAGAACTCTTTTCTCGACTACTTTAAACTCATATTCTTGGTTCTTTCGGTAAAGTCACGTGACTTTACCGAAAGGAATATGAATCCCTGCAGTCACGAAAGCTTTAAATCAAAATTTACTTTAAACTCGTTTAATTGTTGTTGAGTTCGTCCTTCCCCCGCACCTCCGATTATCACGGTTGGTTATGAACGGTGCGAAATAAGTTCAACATACATACAGACATACATAGACATACATAGACAAACCTACATACATACAGACATACATACAAACATACATAGACATACAAACATGCCCTAACCCTAAGATCTAAATGCCCCCCCACGCCCATACCCAAGTAAAGACCTTAGAGCGGCGTTTTTTTTCACGTAATGGTAATACGACTCGTTTAGTAGTACCGTTAGGAAGCGTTGAGTACGACTGATATTTAGAGAGATAACAGAGTGAATGCGTTTTGTCAACAGGGCTGGGGGCTGGCTGAGTGTTCCGCAGGACCAAACAAAGTTTTCATAATAAACGTGTTAAACCAAACGAAGTTTGAGAAACTTCTCCATAGAGCCCTGTTGTTTCTTGACAGACGTGCCGATTTTTGTTGTCATGATCTGTGCACCGCTGGCAGTCACCAAACAATTCACTGAACAATGCAACCTCTTAACGATACTTTCGCTGGCAATGACGACGACAAAGTGCAACGTTTCGCTTAATGACGGTTTTATTTCATTGCGTTATTTGGCCAAAGTTAAATGAGGTGATATCGTCAGCAATGCTGGGGGCACGTCTCCTGACGTTGTGTGAAAGGCACTTTAATGACATAAAACAAAGACAGATTCAATCTTATTTGTATTTGGGCTCAAAAGTACTCGCTAGAGAAAGGCGGCGGCAGTAGCAGCAGCCGCAGGTTGTCGTGTTCGAGATCCCGATCGTGGTCACAGCCGTTACCGCCAGCTCCACCACCACCGGCACCACCACCACCCACTGGCACCACCACCCACTGGCACCACCACCCACTGGCACCACCACCACCACTGGCACCACCACCACCACCACCAGTGGCACCACCACCACCCACTGGCACCACCACCACCACTGGCACCACCACCACCCACTGGCACCACCACCACCCACTGGCACCACCACCCACTGGCACCACCACTGGCACCACCATCACCACCACCACCACTGGCACCACCACCACTGGCACCACCACCCACTGGCACCACCATCACCACCACTGGCACCACCATCACCACCACCACTGGCACCACCATCACCACCATCACCCACTGGCACCACCATCACCACCACCATCACCCACTGGCACCATCATCACCCACTGGCACGACCACCACTGGCACCGCCTTTCTCCCTTCACCAGAGCCCACCGCCGCCCACCGCACAGCTCTCGGCCAGGGGGGGGGGGGGGGGGGGGGGCGCTCTGTGCGTCGCCCCTCGTCACACACTCACTGACCTCTCCTGCAGTTGGTCCCTCTCTCTCCACCCTCCTGCATCAACATTCGCGCAAACGTCACAAGCGCTGGATCAAATACACCGAAGTTGCTGAACGTCATCCCCTCTGCTGCATTCTCCGTCTCCGTTGAAACCCGAGGACGTTCCATTACAGGACTCCCCTAGGGCAGGCGGACCGCGCACCGCATCGGGGTGGTGACGCTCGAGAGATATCGTGGTGACGCTCGAGAGATATCGTGGTGACGCTCGAGAGATATCGTGGTGACGCTCGAGAGATATCGTGGTGACGCTCGAGAGATATCGTGGTGACGCTCGAGAGATATCGTGGTGACGCTCGAGAGATATCGTGGTGACGCTCGAGAGATATCGTGGTGACGCTCGAGAGATATCGTGGTGACGCTCGAGAGATATCGTGGTGACGCTCGAGAGATATCGTGGTGACGCTCGAGAGATATCGTGGTGATGCTCGAGAGATATCGTGGTGACGCTCGAGAGATATCGTGGTGACGCTCGAGAGATATCGTGGTGACGCTCGAGAGATATCGTGGTGACGCTCGAGAGATATCGTGGTGACGCTCGAGAGATATCGTGGTGACGCTCGAGAGATATCGTGGTGACGCTCGAGAGATATCGTGGTGACGCTCGAGAGATATCGTGGTGACGCTCGAGAGATATCGTGGTGACGCTCGAGAGATATCGTGGTGACGCTCGAGAGATATCGTGGTGACGCTCGAGAGATATCGTGGTGACGCTCGAGAGATATCGTGGTGACGCTCGAGAGATATCGTGGTGACGCTCGAGAGATATCGTGGTGACGCTCGAGAGATATCGGGCCTTTCCCAGGCAACCTTCGGTGACCCGACAGCACCGCTGCCACTATGCGATTGTGCTGCCACGTTGTGACGTTTGCCGGGCGGCCTGTGAATGTTGAGAGCAGCGGTCGCTTGTGAGACAAGGTGACTTTGCTTGGCACCGATCTACCGAGCGCTAAGCTTCACTAAAGTGCGAAAGCCACTTTTCACGATGGGATTTTTCTTCTTTTAGTAGTCGTAGTAGTCGTAGTAGTAGTCACCGGTGACTGCACTGAGGCCGTGCAGCATATTACACGTCAGCACCCTGTGTTACCACAGAGGGGCACTTGAAGGTCATCCCCCGCGATCCCAACCATGACCCAGATTTCACACTGGGCTCGAGGCACTTTGTTACAACTTGCACTCCCCTCAAGGCCTTCATCCACCAGGGCAATCGTCGCCGGCAATAGTTTCCGCAGCATATCCCAACTGTGTCAAAATGTCATTGCCCAAAATCTGAACAACAATTCTGATGCAAGTTGCCCTCCGAGTGGGCAACCGGGGCGGCAACGTCCAATCAGATCAGAGACGGAGGGTCTGGTGACGTTTCCTGCACCTGAAATAAATGGCGGCTTCCAAATCCAGCAAGAGTGGGATCTGGACGGATGGAAGAGAAAGCCTTCTGAGAAGTAATGTATTGTATTGAAATAACGGGCTGCATAAAGGAATCACTGTCATCTGACCAGTGACAACTACCAGGCCTGCCTCATCCCGAATAAACAGGTTCATTTACAGTCTGTAGACCAACCATTGTTCAGCATACACAATTTTCACCGAGGCTCGCTCTGATTGGCTAGAGAAATGTCACTTCATTCCGGCAAAGCGCCTTTGCCTGTGATGATTGCCCTGACATTGCCCGAATGAATTATGGCCTTTAGCCGAGCCTGTGTGGTTATTTCATCATTGTTTAGCTTAGCCTGTGTGGTCAGTCCATAATTCCGTCACACAACCAGACTCTTGACCACCCCTCCCCACACCCCCCCTAAAAGGATCCATCCTTCACAGTCATCATCCTCGCTCCGACCATGTGCTCGACTCCAAAGACAAAGATCCCACATATAGCCTTAACAGACTTTGGCCAAGTGCTGTTAGCGAGCACCTATGAATGCCGGCATGGAAACAAGAGGAGGTGGGTGGCCAGCACCACGCCCGGTCGCCTTTATCTCCTGAATGGCGATGTTTACACACCACACCAGGTACTGATTTGAGGGCGAGTCGACCTAGGGGAAGCCCATTCAGATAATTGTCACTTGTGTTATTCGTGAGCGGGAATCGAACTCGGGCCGCCGGGTTTGTAGTGCGTGCGCACACACACACACACACCAGTGTCAAGGCTCTCTCGGGCAACACACCACACTCCAGTGTCTCAGGTCTCTGTGAACAGTCAAATCCTTCACATTCTGGGGTTGTTTGCCGCCCTCTTTTCGAGATCAGGCGCGCACGCGTGCACATGCGCTTAACCCAAACGCGCTCGTCCCACACGTGCTCGTCCCAACAAGCCAGCAAGCCGCGAGTCGGTATCCTTGACCGTCCCATGGGGGTTTTCGTCGCGAACGTAACGCGGGCCCGCCCTCTTGCTCCTCCCAGCCCGGTCACACGCCGGTCTCGGCCTCTCCGTTCTCCTCGAAGAAGCCCACGGAGCGGCGCTCCGTGAGCTTGCGGAACAGCGCCCGCCTGCCGCTCAGCGTCTGCCTGAACGTCTCCGTGGTGAAGTAGTAAATGACGGGGTCGAGGCAGCAGTTGGCGCTAGCGAGCGACAGCGTGACGGGGTAGATGGTGCGCAGGGTACGCAGCGCCGCACAGCCGCCCACCGTCTCCGTGCGCACCATGGTGTAGAGCATCAGCGTCACGTGGTGCGGCAGGAAGCTCGTGACGAAGATGGCCAGCGTGGCGCCGATCATCTTCTGAATCTTGTCCTTGTTCAGGGAGCTCTGCGTCAGCATCGATGTCTTCCTAATGGTCTGGGGGGTTAGAGAAAGGTCAGGGAAGGAATTGTTAATCGGCAGACACAGGCTTGACTTCCTACGGTCCGAGCCAAGCGCGTCATTGTATGTACATTTATACCAGCACAGATCCTTGGCGCGTTTGCCATATGCAAGAATAGAATTGTCAAAATAATCCCATCGTCATCGTCATCGTCACGATCCACGGGGCAGGTAGCCCTTATGCGTCCACTGCACACTTTGTCATTTGTTGCCACTTTCCTCTCGGTCTTGTAGCGTCAATCTGTCTTCTTTGGTTCTTTCGGTAAAGTCACGTAGAATGAGAATAAAATAATAAAATAACACAGTAAAATTCTCACGACGTTTCGGCCACAACGCAAGCGGCCGTTTTCAGGTGAAAGGAACAGACCCGTCGGGACGACAGACACCCGAAGACGGCCGCTTGCGTTGTGGCCGAAACGTCGTGAGAATTTTACTGTGTTACTTTATTATTTTATCCTCATTCTACGTGACTTTACCGAAAGAACCATCCTTGCAGTCACGAAAGCTTTAAATCAAAATTTAGCGTCAAGCTGGCTCAAGTAGTAGCCACATCTTTCTGGCACCAATCTCTTCGTGTCCCCGTCAAGGCAGTTCGCCCTGAGGTCTTCCTCTCTTTCCGGTTCCTTCCATTTCTCCGAACAACAACACTCTTAATGTTCCTATTTTTCTCCATCCTACGTGTGGGTGTCCACATAGCGCCGGTTTCCTCCTCATCGCTGCCTGCATCATCACCTGCAAACTTTACCTTACTTATTCGTTGGTCGCTCTTTGGGTTCAGCTTTAAGTGCAGTAATCACACTGAACAGCCGTACGGCAGATGCGGAGGCTGCTCCGATGTCCCACTCTCTAGACGCATCGCGCGCGACCATCCGATCGAGGCGGTGCATTGTGCCGAGTTGTTGGGGTTTTTTTCCCTCCTCTGAATGTGCCTCAATAAACAACACAAATGGTTATTTCTTTAAAACAACATCGCGGCCAGCGGTAGCAATCAGATTTTTTTCTGGGAGGAATTTCCTGTTATTATTAGCAGCTTTCTGTACGATACCAAACTTGAGTGGTCGTGCATTGTAGCTACGGAGCCTACTGAGACACGGAAAAACACACGTGAGCAACTATTTAGACATTTGCAGAAAGCCATCAAAATACCCCGAATGAGTGGGCAAACTGGAATGAACAGATGGGGTCTGGGCAGTATAAATGTCCGTGATTAATCTTACATTCTTGTGTTATCCAAAATATAAAAAAATAAAGTCCAGTTAAAGTATGGTACTTTGTGTTAAAAATGGAAGCATTGGCGCCAACAATTTGGTAATAACAGTTTTGTCTAAGCCTGGTCAAGTCTGTGGTGGGTGGGTGTTTACGGTTTGGGTGGCAGTGTCCACACATGTTATTACACCGCATGGCCATTTTTTGGTGGGTACAACGTTGAAGTATTGAATGGAACATCTGATGTAAAAATAGACGTTAATGTCTTTGGCAGCATTTACGATCGCAGACGATCCCAAACGGTTACATTTAGCGGTGATAACAATAATTATTACAATGGTCCTGACCATTCCGACTGTCCAGATATGTCACAGAAAATAGATAATTTGACCTCATTGTGCCGTCACGTGGCTGAAAGTATACTTGCTCCTTAAAAAATCAAATCCATTTGCTCGTCGACAATGCATGTAGGTACGTTGAACTTCTTTTGCACCGTACGTCACCAGCCGTGCTAATCGGAGGTGCGCGGGAAGGACAACAAACTAAACACGCAAAAAACAATTATAAAGAAAAATAATAAAATAATAAAAATAAAACAATAAAATTCTCACAACGTTTCGATTGCTTGTGTTGCAATCGAAACGTCGCGAGAATTTAATTGTTTTCTTTTTATTATCTTATTATTTCCCTTCCACGTGGCGACTTTACCGAAAGAACCAAGAATATGAGAATCCCTGCGGTCACGAAAGCTTTAAATCGAAAATAAATTCTAAAATAAATTAGCCGTCAATCTACACGATGATTTAAAAGTGCAAAGCCCCAGTGGCCTCCTAATATCGAAGGGAAGAGAGCGTTCCAGACGGCCGCGGAAGAACATCTGAAAAGCGCCGCGATGCGGCGACCGTCTTTGGTCGGTGGCCAGCCAAAAAGCCGCTGGTGCTGCTGCTGCTGCTGCGGCTGCTGCTGCTGCTGCTGCGAGGATGATGAGCGGGGTTCGTGTGGTGATGGTTCATGCTCGCTGTCGACAAACGGACTCTGCCAAGCCGCACGCAGAACAGCGCGTGGCCTAGCTGCGAGCGAGACCGCAGATTTTGCCACTGGGAAAACGCAGCGACTTCCCAAGAAGCAGCTCTGTTGACTCTGCAAAGTAAGCCGCGATACAGAGTGGTACAAAACGGCCGACTGGAACACACAGAGCCACTTTTGTAGTGTTTAAACTTTTTTTTTCTTCTCTTTACACCGGATTTTCATGGAATGCCAGGTTGGGTTGGGTTCACAAGACTCGTGCCAATGATTCCAGGCCCTCCAAAGTCATTCCCACGCAGAGGAAATGTCTGGAATTGGCTGATGTTTAACCACGCAGTGAGCAGTGTAGGTCACAGTGTAGGATGATCTAAAGAGACGGCAGTGGAAAGAAGGGGCAAGCAAGGGGGTGGGGAGTGGAGGGGATCCGAGGGTCCGAGTCTGTTGCCATGGAAACCTCAATGTTTGTTTCTTTCATGGCAATTTTTCTCTCTTGTACAAGTTGTCAAAGTTATTGTTTCTTTTTTATGATAGATTATTTTGATTGCTACATTGCCACATTCTTTATGAATTACGTCCTTGTTTTAGACACTTCCTCGCATTCACCAGATGTACAACGTCTCCGTCACACATACTTTGGGAGTTAGAAATATCGCATTCACTCCCCGCAATCCAAACCCGGACCAACTTCAACATCACTATCGCCGTCTTCAACATCCACCACGGATTCGACCCTGTACCCCTGCCCTCCCCTCCAAGAGCTCGCCCCTCCACCCCCACCCCAAATCCCTCCCCCCCCCCCACACACAACCCCCTCTGAAAACAGATGATGGTTAAGGCCCTGCATGTAGCCTCTACCTCCTCCCCATCTCTCCCGATCCTTTGTATGTGCGAATGTTGAACTTCTTTCGTACTCTACGTTGCCAACCGTGCTAATCGGATGTGCGGAGGAAGGACAGCAAACTAAACACAAAAAGCAGTTCGAAAGAAATTAGTTTTCAATCTAGATTTAAAAGTGCATTGCTCCAGTGGCTTCCTAACATGGGAAGAGCGTTCCAGACGGCCGCAGAAGCGCATTCTGAGAGAGTGCGATGCAGTGACCGTTTTTGTTTGATTACTAGCCAAAAGCTATTGCGAGGATGACCGGAGTTTGCAAGATGGTTTATGCCCCATTGACGAGATCAGCAAGGTATTGTGGTTCATTTGTAGTAAGCACTTCGTGTGTAGTGAGGGCGACCTCATTTCCAAATCTCTCTCTTTCCGTTTCCATTCATTTCGAATGTTCCATGCATTCTATCCTTGACACGATTCCCCTTACATGGAGTGTGGACACAGGTACAAAGCTGCTGGTTGAGAATGAAACAGCACTGGGTGAATGGAAAGCTTAACCGTGATCATTTGGCGAGCAATTTTTGTTGATATAAATATGACCTTATGCGTAGGCTTTCACGATCAATATTATGATTTATAGTTGCTTTCTTTTGGGTCAGATCGTGTTGGTACAACGTCAATATATATATAACTATAACCCTGCACCACCCAGCAATGTTGCCAATCAAATCGAAATGTCACGTCGTGGGAAATACGCCGATTGATTTGGCGAATTCAGGACCCGGATCAAGAAGCGCTTGCACGCAAGGACCGCTGAGGGGCGCCACGGTGGCTAGGAGATGTCAACTCCCTCGCCTGGTATACAGGAGGTCGTGGGTTCGATCCCGACCCTGCTGAGATGTTAACTCCCTCGCCTGGAATACAGGAGGTTGTGGGTTGATCCCGACCCTGACGCCTGCTGCTGTATATTTGGAGTGTGCGTGTCTCTCTCATCATCATCACGGTGGCTAGGAGATGTCAACTCCCTCGCCTGGTATACAGGAGGTCGTGGGTTCGATCCCGACCCTGACGCCTGCTGCTGCTGTATATTTGGAGTTTGCGTGTCTCTCTCTCTCATCACGGTGGCTAGGAGATGTCAACTCCCTCGCCTGGTATACAGGAGGTCGTGGGTTCGATCCCGACCCCGACGCCTGCTGCTGCTGTATATTTGGAGTTTGCGTCTCTCTCATCATCATCACGGTGGCTATGAGATGTTAACTGCCTCGCCTGGTATACAGGAAGTCGTGGGTTCGATCCCGACCCCGACGCCTGGATATTTGGAGTTTGCGTCTCTTTCCCCCCGTGGTAGCGTGGATTTTTCTCTTAGTCATCCGGTTTTTTCTCCACATTTAGAAACATCCATTTAGAGTAGGGGGGTTGCTATACATTTCCACGTGATAAGCCACTTCGTTGAGCTATCATTTGCGGCCAGGTCGCTTCTGAAAGAAAAAAAAAACTATATATAGCTCAGCGAGTCCTTAACTGGTAAATGAAAATAGATGGCTGCTGTTCACGCGCCTGGTGATGCTGGGTGCGATCTGTAGTGAAACGTCGTCGAGAAAAAAATTGTCCAAAATGTTTTGCTCGCATTTTCAACTTTCCTTCCGTTTTTTTTTCTGAAAAAAAAAACTAATCAATCCGAGTATTTTCCCACAACGTGACAACTTTAATTGATTGGTTCGATTGTCGGGTAAGTGGAGGGTGACAGTTAATCAATGGGCATTGTAGCTACATGACGATCTAACCCCAACATAAACTAATTACGAATCTTTGAAGACGCACATGCCTCTGAACCTTGCTCGCGCAGACATTTGGCGAGAAAATAATCCGACGTTTGAACCGGCAATGACGATGGTAGCCAAAGGACGCGCAAATGACCGCACGGCACTCTTGAAGGAAGGGATACCTTCAGGCAGTTGCCGCTTTGTGTTTCACAGTTGAGAGCCTCGCAGGGGCGCCGCGGGGCCCCAAGCAGATAAAAGACCTCACGTGGGCGTCTATCCGCTTCAACTCGATACTGCAAGGGCAGCCAATGCGTAGCACGCACCGGGAGAGGACCACCGCCAAACTATGCATGCGGCGAGCATGAAAACGTAGAGCGGAGGAGCAGGGGACCATGGCCGGGGGGGGTCCAAGATCGGGACGTCCGCCATCCTCGACGTGGCCATCGGGCTCGCACCACCATCGTCTCTCATCGAGTTAACAGCTTACTGTGCTCCACCGCGACCACTCTGACCACATCGCCAGAATATTGACAAAACCAAAAAAAATCGAGCGACCAAGCTGCCGAATGGAGCCGGCGAGGAATCGCCCGCGGTGAGGAGCTCGAGCTTGGGATTAAAATTCCAAATGGCTCACCTGGCGGAGCCGACACAGGCTGAGAGAGGGTTTAGGCCGATGCGACGCTCTCATGAAATCATGGGGAGGTGGGGGGGGGGGGACTTCTGCACAACCGACCGATGTGCTTGTCAGGAGAAACAAACCACGGCTCATCTCTTGAGATGCCCTGCAGCATCACAAAGCACTCCTCAAGGTTTGGCAATGCCAACACCAGAAGCGGTGGCCTGTTCACAATATTGTGAAAAGACTGCATAGGTTGGACAGGAGACACGACTAAGGAGAACAGAGGAAGTTCACCGTAAACAATAAGGGAGGGGGGATATCCTTCAACCTCCCTAAACGCGTCACACATTCGGCTCAAATTTTGTTCGTTCAAGACACATCTGACGAAAGCTCTCTCGCCGAAACACCGCCGCCAAGAGACGCCGCCGCCGCCGCCGCCGCCGTGCCGGATGCCCACCAGCAGGATCTGGCAGGAGCAGTACACCATGACGCAGAGCGGGATCACGAACCCGACGAGCTCCACGAACACGACCACCGCTCCGATCCTCGACCAGTCCTCCTGCGAGAAGTTCTCGAAGCACGTGGTGGTGGTGGCGGCGGCGGCGGCGGCGGCGGCGGCGGCGGCGTCCGACGGCGGCGGCGGCGGCGGCGGCGGCGGCACGTTGGCCGCGCGCAGGGCGAACACCGGCGCCCCGCACAGCGCCACAAAGAGCCACACGGCGGCGCTGACGAGGCGAGCGATGCGCGGCGTGCGCAGCGGGCGGGAGCGTAGCGGGTGCACGATGGCCAGGAAGCGGTCGGCGCAGATGCACGTGAGGAAGAGGACGCTGCCGTACATGTTGACGAGGAAGACCGCCTTGCTCAGCTTGCACGCGAGCTCGCCGAAGGGCCACAGCCCGCCACGCGCGTAGTACAGCACGCGCAGCGGCAGCGAGCCCACGAAAAGCAGGTCCGACACCACGAGGTTGGACATGTATATGGTGGTCTCCGAGTGGCACTTGATGTGGCGGCAGAACACCCAGCAGGAGACGCCGTTCACGCAGAGCCCCACCACGAACACCAGGCTGTAGGCGACGGCGTAGAACGTGTTCTTGAAGTGCGCGTCCGCGGTGCACTCGGTGACGTTGAGGCCAGGCGGCGGCGGCGGCGGCGGCGGCGGCGAGTCCATGGTTCGCGCGCGGGGCCTGCGCCGGATCCTAGTCGGCGGCACGCCGCGTCGGAACGAGCGCCGAATTCCACGCGGGAAGGGGCGGGAGGTTGGCTGACGGGCGCGCGTGGCGGCGATGGCGGCGATGGCGAGGTGGTTCGAGGCGCGAGCCGGGCGCGCCGTCCGCTGCCCCGTCAGCCCGCTGCCACCGCATTGCGTTCGGCGGGGCTGCCGCGAGTTAGCCGTCGTTCGCTTGAGCTGCCGCTCTCGGCGCTACGCGTCCGCGTCCGGGGCGGAAGCGAGCTGCCGTTGGTGTCGCGGCGCCGGGGTTTGCTACGGCACGGCTCTGCCTGCGGGCGGCCGCCGCGCTGTGCGACGGCGTGGCTGCTGACGGGTCTCGGTCGAGCGCAGGCTCCATCACGGGCAGCTAATCTGTTGAAGGCAGCAACAGCAGCAGCGTTCCCAGTTACCACTTTTGACGAGGGCATATTTTTTACAAAGTTTCATTTCATCCATACTCTTTGGTTCTATTCGGTAAAAGTCACGTGGGTAAAAAATAAAACAACAAAAATCACGACGTTTCGGCCACAACACAAGTGGCCTTCATCAGGTGAAGGGATCAGGCTGTCTCGAGGACAGCGCTGGAGTGAAACACAGCCACGCTCAGACCGCGACCTTTAAGCTGTGTGCGAGGAAACAAGGTGCCTTGACAAAGGAATTCGCATAAAAATTAGCATTTGATTGGCCGACTTAGCATGATGAACGGTGTAGAGGTGGTGCACATGCGGGTGAACATGCCGGTTGGCGAGGGGGGGAGGGGGAGTTTACCCATTGATGGTGTGAAAAGGGAATTTTTAAGAGCTGCGAAAGTTTGGGGTACCACTACTTGAAAAATATACTGTACCATTGAAAATTAGTTTAATGTTTGGTTCGATTTAGAACATCTTTCCAATGGTTGCTTAATTTGAAACCATCTTCTCGGTTGAAATTGTGACTGTGTTTGTAGATCTGAATTGCCTCGTGAACAAATCTCTGATAAAAACCCGTGGGTTTGCAAAGAACCTTGGTATCGGAGAAAATTATATCGTGATCACCCACAGCGTTGTAACAGTGATCAGCTACGGCAGAAGAATTCGTTCTGCCGTGTTTCAAATCTGATTTGTGCTCGCGAATTCGGTCAGAGACATGTCACTTTGTCTCCTCTATATAGCAATCACCGCAGGTACAACTCAATTTGTAAACCCCGGGGTACTGTAAGTCAGGAATGACGTCCTTCACGGATGGGATCAGATCACGCATTTTGTGTACTGTATTGAACCGGACCCGGATCTTGTGTTTGTTTAGAATTTTGGAAATCTTTTTAGTAACGCCTGCTATATATGGTAGTGTGATGGTTTTGACCGGAGTATCAAGTGGTTGTTTCTGTATGGAGGGAGAAACAGCTTGGTGGATGGTACGGTCAGAGTATCCATTCCTTTTGAGGGCCAGGTGTACATGTTTTAATTCACTGGTCAGGTGGTGTTAGTCCGAAATGCAATGAGCCCTATGGTATAAAGTTTTGATGAGATAATTATTTTGGGCTGGGTGGTGGTGGGAATCAGGTTTCAAGTAGGAATCTGTGTGGGTGGGTTTCCTGTAGACAGAATGCCCCAATGAGCCATCAGGTCTCCTCTCAAACAGAACATCCAAGAATGGTAGCTTGCCATCTTTTTCCACTTCCATGGTGAATTTGATGGCGGGATGTCTGGAATTGATGTGGTGTAGGAAAAGGTTCAGAGCTGGGAGGCCATATGGCCAAATGACGAAAGTGTCATCCACATATCTCTTCCACAGGGAAGGTCTGAGGGTGGAAGTCTGGATGGCGTCCGATTCAAATTTGTCCATGAAAATATTGGCTATCACTGGTGACAAGGGGGATCCCATGGGGGTACCCTCATTTTGTTTGTAGAAGGAGCCATTCCAAGTAAAGTAGGTATTGTTGAGGCAGTGCCTAACCAGTGCAGGTGTATCGGGGTCTAGTCCATGTTGGACCAAATTGTGTTGAACGTACGACACCGTATTGCAGCGAGCGGCGTTATCCACTCGTCATCGTTGCCTTTCTCAAAACCTGCTGGGTCAGTAGCTCGGCCCTGCTCGTGAGGGCACGCGTGCCACTGGTTGCATTTGCATAGAGGCGGCATACTTTGATTCCTTGCCGCCACCGAGGCATTTCAGTCGGGGATTTCACCCAACGTGCTCCAGCTACCGCAGAGGCAATGGACGATTCAGTCCCAATACACAGAGATGTCTCGAGCCAGGCTAGCTCACAGTTGGGAGTGTTCCACTACAGGCAAGACACGTCAGCCTCATGTGATATTAGAACGCTGGCAGAGTAGGCCAATGCACAGAGATGTCACATAGCCAGGCTGGGTGGACCCCCGTACTGGGAATGTTCTATCAGGAACTTTCACAGCTTCGTCAGACCAACGTGCACCTGTGCGCGTCGTGGAGGACTGCAGGAAACTCGGTGCGTTTCCCACGATTGCTGTGGCTTGCGTATATTTTACCTGGTCTTTCATTTGTTGTAAGTGCTCGTTCCTGGATTGCACGGAAAGATATTTTGCAGCCAACCGATAACCGCCACTGACAAATTGAGGCGTTTTCTGTCGTGGCAGCAGAGCCAGAAAAAGGAAAGGTTCTGTGGCCAGCTGCATGAAACACCTTAATAAGTGACAACCTCCTTTGAGTGACATTTATTTATACAGGAGGCGAGTGGAATTTTACATTGAAGTTCTTTGATGCAACCAAACCGCGTTCTTTGACTCTTTTCCAAGCGGTGGCGGCCCGGGGTCGTAGCGCAGTGGGCTAACCACAGCACTACCGCTCCCCATACGCCTGGAAGCACACTCGCATAAACGTGCGGGAAATATGTCACGCACAGCCCAACTCTTGCTTTGAAACACAGAGGGAAAGAAAAGTGCGTGTTGTAATCTGAAGAACACGGCATTCATTTTCAATCTCTGACCTTCAGAAAAAAAGGTCACTGCTGGCTCAAACCAATGGGCTGGTGATGCAGCGTTGACAGCGGCGCTGCGCAAATCACTCTTCGTTAGGAACGTGAACATCATCGGCAAGCTGCAAAATCGCAGCGGTAACATTTGCTCTACACTCACTTTTCAGACACACCTAAAGCCCCCTTCTCTCTTCAAGCCCCCCCTCTCTCTTCAAGCCCCCCCTCTCTCTTCAAGCCCCCCCTCTCTCTTCAAGCCCCCCCCTCTATCTTCAAGGCCCCCCTCTCTCTTCAAGGCCCCCCTCTATCTTCAAGGCCCCCCTCTATCTTCAAGGCCCCCCTCTATGTTATAGGCCCCCCTCTCTCTTCAAGGCCCCCTCTATCTTAAAGGCCCCGCTCTATCTTAAAGGCCCCCCTCTATCTTAAAGGCCCCGCTCTATCTTAAAGGTCCCCTCTATCTTCAAGCCCCCCCTCTATCTTAAAAGCGCCCCTCTATCTTAAAGGCCCCCCTCTATCTTAAAGGCGCCCCTCTATCTTAAAGGCCCCCCTCTATCTTAAAGGCGCCCCTCTATCTTAAAGGCCCCCCTCTCTCTTCAAGGCGCCCCCTCTCCCCTAAAGGCCCCCCCTCTATCTCCTTGAGAGCCACGGTCATTTGTCACGTCTGTGATATACTGTGAATGTCACCAACCATTGCAATTATTATTTCCAATAAAACTCAAGGCATCCATCAACACCGCCCCGAAAAGGCAAAAAATCAGCAGCAGGCGACGCCTTGAGGAACGATCCTCCTCCCTGACACAGGCCAATCAATCACGTTAACGATCAGTGAACGAAGTGAAACACAAATTAACTAAATCATTTTGGTCATTGGTGATTACGCCGAGAATATCAACCCCACTTGGACGTGAGAATGAATATTCGTTTACTTTAGGGGTCAGAGCCCCGGAATGGATTCAAATCCGGGATCTTAGTGGAGCCACCTCCACACTACGACCCCCGGGACTCATGAGAGTCACCCAACAGAGTCACCCAACCAAGTCACCCAACCAAGTCACTCACAACAGTCACACACCACAGTCACATGGTACCCAACCTAGTCACACACCAGTCACACGGTACCCAACCTAGTCACACACCACAGTCACACAGTATCCAACCTAGTCACACACCACAGTCACACAGTACCCAACCTAGTCACACACCAGTCACACGGTACCCAACCTAGTCACACACCACAGTCACACGGTACCCAACCTAGTCACACCACAGTCACAAGGTACCCAACCTAGTCACTCACCACAGTCACACGGTACCCAACCTAGTCACACCACAGTCACAAGGTACCCAACCTAGTCACACACCACAGTCACAAGGTACCCAACCTAGTCACTCACCAGTCACAAGGTACCCAACCTAGTCACACACCACAGTCACAAGGTACCCAACCTAGTCACACACCACAGTCACACGGTACCCAACCAGTCACACACCACAGTCACAAGGTACCCAACCTAGTCACTCACCACAGTCACAAGGTACCCAACCTAGTCACACACCACAGTCACAAGGTACCCAACCTAGTCACACACCAGTCACACGGTACCCAACCTAGTCACTCACCACAGTCACACGGTACCCAACCTAGTCACCCAACCTAGTCACACACCAGTCACACGGTACCCAACCTAGTCACACCACAGTCACAAGGTACCCAACCTAGTCACACACCACAGTCACAAGGTACCCAACCTAGTCACACCACAGTCACAAGGTACCCAACCTAGTCACTCACCACAGTCACAAGGTACCCAACCTAGTCACTCATCACAGTCACACGGTACCCAACCTAGTCACACACCACAGTCACAAGGTACCCAACCTAGTCACACACCACAGTCACACGGTTCCCAACCTAGTCACACACCACAGTCACATGGTACCCAACCTAGTCACACCACAGTCACACGGTACCCAACCTAGTCACTCACCACAGTCACAAGGTACCCAACCTAGTCACACACCACAGTCACACAGTACCCAACCTAGTCACACACCACAGTCACAAGGTACCCAACCTAGTCACACACCACAGTCACACAGTACCCAACCTAGTCACACACCACAGTCACAAGGTACCCAACCTAGTCACACCAGTCACACGGTACCCAAGCTAGTCACACACCACAGTCACATGGTACCCAACCTAGTCACTCACCAGTCACACAGTACCCAACCTAGTCACACACCACAGTCACACAGTACCCAACCTAGTCACACACCACAGTCACATGGTAACCAACCTAGTCACACACCACAGTCACACGATATCTGCGCTCTGGCACGCAGAGCCCACCTTTCGAGACGTCAGTGGAGAGGAATTCGAGCCGTCCGATCCCGTTGTTGGAACGCGTTCATAAACAAGGCACAGATTCCGTCACCCACC